TAATATTTAATTACATGGACTAATGTTTGCAAAATAAGAAGTAAAAAATTAGTAAATAATATTCTGCTCATGATTGGAGAAAAAAATGCTAAAATATTGGCATAGTTCTCCCTGTTATTTAAGTTTTTTTTCCTTTTTTTATTCTGTGTGGTCTTTTAAAATTTTTTTTTTTTTTTGCAAATGAAGACATGTTACTTTTATAATTTAGATAAAGCAGGATTTTGTTTTCTTAAATAGGGAACCCAAGAAAGAAAGAAAATGCATAGATTTTGGAGCTAGAAGAATCTGGGACCATATTTGAGCTCTTCTACTTACTAGCTGTACAACATCATGTGAATTACTTTACTTCTTTGGTTTTTCATTTTTCCATCTGTAAAGTGAAAAAATAAACACAATTCTCAGAACTACATTAAATTAACGTGTTATGGTATTTACAGAAACCCTCAGTAATTTCCATAATTTCTGTATGGGAGTTTTATAAATCCAACATAAATACATTTGGTATTCAGAAGCTACATATATAAGTCCAGGATAGCTCTGGAATTTCAGTATAAGTGAGGTTTGAAGACTACAACCTGGTTGGAAGTTTGTGGGAGAGGGAGTTCAGGGAGTTGTGCCTTCGATATCAAATAGACTTATAAAGACAGCTCCTCATTTCTTTAAAACATTTGTACTTGTTTTGTACAGTCTCTCTGAAGGCCAGGAGACTGTTTACAATCCTGGAAATAACAAACTTTGGAGCCAGAAATATCTCAGCTGAATATTCTTACACAAGATTCTTATGATCTCTGTGCCTCAGTTTTGTTAGTTTATAAAATGGGGTGAACAGAAACTACACTCATAAGTTTGCAAGAGAGATTAAATTCTATTATGTACTAGAGGCTTGCAGTCCGGGAGCCCTCGGGGGATGTCTGCCTGCTGGCTTAGGCCTGCTCCCTCTCGCAGTCCGGGACCCATCACTCCTTACCACCCACCTGCAGCGGAGGTGGGAGAGGTTGTGAGCCCAGCTTCTGGCTGAGTGGTGCTCCCCCTGTGGGAGTGCACTGACCACCAGGGAGCAGCTCCTGCATTGAGCATCTGCTCTCTGGTGGTCAGTGCATGTCATAGCAACCAGTCGTTCTGTCGTTCAGTCGATTTGCATATTAGGGTTTTATTATATAGGAAGGGAAGAGGTTGGCATAGTACCTAATACCTAGAGGTTGCAATAGATGAAGCAGCTGTTATTATTGTTATTGTAGATATTTTTATTTTTGCTTTGGAAAGTAGTCACCTGTGTTTGTTATTCTTTCAGACTCTCAAGCCTCACATAATTTTATTTGTTTTAAAAGAAATATTATAGAAAACACCTTCATTATTAAGGCCCAGGAATTGATTATGAAAGGTGAAACTCTTTTGATTCTGCCTTTTGTCCACCCCAAAATAAAGGGGACATCTGGGACTTTTTAGGCTAGGAGTTCTGTTCTATCTTCTCTCAGGAGGGACTGACTCCCCATAATTTCATTCTTATTTTACTCAATTCTGTGGAATAAAGAGAGAAACAGGGTAGTGGAAGAGAAATGGATACATGTGAATGAAATTATAGCCTACCCAGCTGGTGCAGAGGGGTTAAGAACTAGGAGAAAGCCTATGTAGTGACCTAAATATTTATCTATGCTTGTTTGATTGATTGATTCCTAAAGGTGCATGCCTGAGATGTTTTCCTTCAAGATAAGAAAAGCCGTTAGCCCAGCTGGTGTGGCTCAGTCAGCCTGTGAACCAGGAGGTCATGGTTTGATTCCCAGTGAGAGCACATGTCTGAGTTGTGGGCTTGATCCCCAGTAGGGGGCATGCAGGAGGCAGCTGATCAATGATTCTCTTTCATCATTAATATTTCTATCTCTCCCTCTCCCTTCTTCTCTGAAATCAATATATTAAAACAAATTCTAAAAAAAGAAACAAGAAAAGCTGCTAGAAAACCTCCAGAGATCAGTTGAAATGGATCAGAGAACACTTCGATGGGCTCAATTGGAATTTTCTTCATTACACCCTCATAGTAATACTAAAATCTCCCCCAGGTGAGGGCTTACCTGCTGTTTTCTGTGCACGTGATGCATATCTAGCCATGTCCATTTACTGTGCATGCTCACCCAAAACATACCTCAACATGCTATGATGTAAGCAACAGCCCTATAAAACCATCTGGTCTTTTGTTCTTGGCGAGAAACTGCTCAGGGAATGACCCCCAGTGCACTCCTTGTTTGCTGGCCAGCAATAAACTTTCTTGGAATGTGTTTTTGGCTGACCTCTACCAAGTGGCTGGACCCCATTCCAGTCAATAACAAAATAAGATTTAAAAAAAGGGAGCAGATAAGAAAGAAGGAAGTGGTATGGAGTAAAGAAAGGAAGTGCCTATTAGAGTGGTAAAAACTGACTAGGTGACGAGGATGCTGGTTACAGGGTGATCCCCAACTAACTGCTTGCCTTGTGCCTTCACTGAGACTGAGTTTCCTTATATGTAACATGGGAAGTTGAAATTGACAGGGCTCCAACGATGCTTTAAGTTTAATAGTCTATGGAAAGATGAGCGAACCTTCCTAACCTCATTTTATAGGGAAGTGTAACAATGGGCTTCTGTGTAGCTTTTGTGTACTAGTAAATAGCTGTAGAGTGCTGCTGGCCAACAGGAATGAACCTGCCCTTCCCAGAGGGACCTCCGTGGTTTTGGAGCAGCCTAGAGCTAGTTCCTCCACTGGCCTTGTCACAGACGGAGAGCACACGACCTTTTGCTTGCTGAGGGCCAGTCTCTCCGTTCTCATGCAAGGCTCAGAAAGTATTGGTACTGGAGGTTTTCTTAGCAAAAGTCCTCAGCACAGTGGGCTCCCAATAAACATTCCTTTTCAGAATAGATGCAAGTTCGTCAGAACCTGGGTATTGTTGGTTGTGTGCAAATCGTTCCCAGATCAGCCTTCTGGAGATCTGACTCCCCCCAAGTAACTCATCTTCCCAATGATGTTCTAACTCTGGGGGAAATGAGGTAAGTGCCTCGTCTCAGAGGTAATGCTGAAGATTTTCTATAAGGGTAGGATTCTGGAATATCAATCCCACACGTAGCTTTTTGAGAAGCTAGCATCTTTCACCAGTAGAGTCATTTGTTTATTTACAGATCAGTCTGAGCCTGTTATTGAGTAGCTTCCAGAGGGCTGGCATAGTGCTCTGGGCTTCATTGGCTTTTAAAAAACAAGGTGAGTGTTTCTGACCTCATTTTTTTTTTTCATAAGAAGTCATAGTAGGGGTTAACCACGGCTTAAATATATGTATTCACTTACTCAGGAGATTTGAGGTAGTATCCTTGGGCCAGACAGGTTAGACCTGGGCCTTCGGAATCTCAGCACCCTACCTCTCAGCCTGAAGCTTAACAGACGCATATAGTAGTTTCTCCTGACATTAAGGACCTTTACAGAATTTATCAAAGCTTTACAAAGAATTTATCATTTTCTATTTGCCATGCTAAATAGCCTGGAGATGAGAGGTGAATAAAACTTCCTTTTCTCTGGAGAGCATTTAGTTTCTTTTAGAGAGGCAGACTTCCAGAGTTCACATCCAGGACTATTGCTTCTAGCTCTGTGAACTTAGACAAGTGTCTCAACCTCAGATTTTTATAAAATAGGGATGATGCTCATAATACTGAATACCTCATGGAATTTTTTTGTGAAGATTAAATGTGTTAATTCATGTAAAGGGCTTAGCATGTATTAAGTTCTCTGTAAGTGCTAGCTACTAGTATTACTCTCTAATCTCTGAGTCAGCATATTATTCAACTGTAGCAAATATCTGATGAGTACTTGCTATGGCTATGTAGGGCATCTTTACAATAATTCTGTTTTCTTTTTAATTTATTACTAGAGGCCCGGTGCACAAAAATTTGTGCACTCGGGGCGAGGGGGGTCCCTCAGCCCATCCTGTGCCCTCTAGCAGTCTGGGACCCCTCAGGAGATAATGACCTGCTGGCTTAGGCCTGCTCCCGAGTGGCAGAGGGCAGGCCCAATCCCTAGGTGCAGCCCCTGGTCGGGCTCAGAGCAGGGTCAATTGGGGAGTTGGGGCGCTGCCCCCTGTCATGCACAGAGCAGGGTGGATCGGGAGGTTGCGATGCCACCCCTAGTCACGCTCAGGGTACAGCCGATTGGGGGGTTGGGGCACCGCCCCCTGTCACACTCAAGGCAGGGTCGATAGGGAAGTTGCGGCGCCACCCCCTGTCACGCACAGAGCAGGGCCCATCAGGGGGGTTGGGGCTCCTTAACCTGTGACACACAGAGCAGGGCCGATCAGGGGGTTGAGGAGCTCCCCGCTGTCATGCACAGAGCAGGGCCGATCAGGGGGTTGAGGAGCTCCCCCCTGTCACTCACAGAGTAGGGCCAATAGGGGAGTTGGGGCACCGCCCCCTGTCACACACAGAGCAGGGCCCGTGGGGGGTGTTGGGGGCCGCC